CCTGAGAAACTGCAAACCGTCATAAATATGAGTCAGTTTCTGAATTTTGATCACATGACCGTGGGGATGCTGCAACGGTTTTAGGTGCGAAAAACTGTCATAAGTCAATTTTTTTCAGTGCCGTTGTAACTGTTGTAAGTTGAGGCCTACCTGTATTATATCAGTCACTTTAAAAGCTCTGATTCTACCTGTCTGAAGGGACCATGGCAGCTGCCTTTATGTGGGTGTCCACAAAGAAGAGGCAAATGATGTCATAGGAGTTATCATGTCATTACGCAAACGACACAAACTATATGCAATGCATAATGGCATCATTGGCCTCACTTGTGTGATGTCACTATGGCTTCTACGCCAGCTGTGCTGTGTGTGAAAAAAGGGTGAAAAACAGCCATAAGTCACTTTCTTTCGCTCTGTTGTAACTTTGAACAGTCACTAACTGAACTGTTGTAAGTCGAGGACTACCTGTATTCAAGCAGGAGGGACAACCTACGTGTATCTTCCTCACCTTGGTTTTAGGCACATTCTTCTGGTTTTCTTTTGCTCTATCTTTATCTTTTTTTTCTCCTTTTTTTCCTCTCGTTTTGTTTTTGGGTTTTGTATTTTAACTTTGGAAATAACAAAAATTTAAAACCCTTTTTCCAAGGATTTAACCTTAAACTTTAACTTTAAACTGTCTACCATGGACCTCACTCCATTCCTAAGAGGTCTGTAAGGCAGCGTGCATAAGCACACCAGCGTGCCTACCGTCCCTGTCCTATTGTTCCCATTTATCCATGTATTTGTATCCATTTATTATGTACTGTATATAGCTGTTTATACATATGTTTATATGTTATGTTCATACTTGTTTTCTCATACATGCTTGACAAACAAAATAAATAAATTAAATAAATAAACAACAGAAAATACTTTTGAATAAGCAGGTGAGTTTCTTTTTCAGATAGTTCAGTAGGGGCTAAAGGCCTTAAGAGTTTACCCTTAATGTTTAGTTAAAACTACCATTCTGGTAGTTTACCATTCTGGAAAATTGTCCATTAGATCTGATCCTGATTTCTGGACAAAAGAAAAAAAAATCTCTTAAATTAAATTGTTTAATCTCTGTTTCCTCCTAAGTTCATGTCTTCTGGCTATCAACAATTGCTTTCGTAATACTTACCCAGCGTGACTCTTAATCATATTAGATGAGAATTTTAGGAGTTGTATTTTGATATGTTGGAAGAAATACCTTTCTGGGTTCAGTTCCAAGTGGGGAAGAAAGACACTGGAAACATGGTGACTGCTTGGAAAGATGGTTTAATGGTGGACAGGATCACATGCCTTGGGTGAAGAAAGAAGGAAGGGGTGAGATGCTGAAAGTGCCTGGGTTTTATACCCTCTGTTGGGATTTGAATTTGAGCTTGTATTCTGATTGGTTGTCAGACTCCCATTGGGCCATGCAGGGGCAACTCTGTAGGCTGTCCTGAGTCCCAGGTTTGGTTGAGCCTTGCTAGATGATGATGTAATGAAGGGCTGTGGGCAATTCCTATTATAGCTTTACCTGGAATAGATCTTTGTTATGTAAAATAGGCTGGCCTAGGCCAGAGTAATGGCCCATTAACAAATGTGTGTGTGTGTGGCGGGTGGCTAAGTTTCTGCTTCTGAGATGAGTTTCTGCTTCTGAGTTACTACTCTTTTTAGGGGAAATATTCTGCCTTTTTAGTATATCCTAAAATATTCCATTTTCCTAGGAGAGGGGTGGGTTTTAACTTCCAACAGGTACATCTGGATGACACCAGGTTTCTCACATCTCTTCAGATGACCAATAAGCATTTGAAATATGATTCCTTCCCATTTCCTGCTTGGTCTGTAGCTTCTTCGTTAACTTTATTCTTTCCAAGCTCATTTGCAAATCTGTGGCTCTCCAGATGATCTTTCCTGGCTTGTCAAAGTAATGAAAAGGTTGTTTTCATTACTTTTCATTACAAAGAAACAAAAAGTTGTTTCTTTGCTGCTGGTGGATGCCTAATCTTTTAGGGGTCATCGGTATCCTAACAGAGTGGTCCAAATCTACAGTAAGGGAGGAGGGGAAGCCATAAACAGCTGTTGTTTTGGCTGGATATTTTAGTAATGCCACCTTCACTCCCCTTTGACATGCATCAACTGATTGGTCAGCTGAGATCCTTGGCTTCTTGTTCAAGAATTGGATGGATGGGAAGGGGTGTCTGTTGAGTCATTTTGCAATGAAATGCAAGGGTGCCTTTGAGCAATCCTAAGTTCTTGGCGATGTGCCAAGCAAGCCAACACCTCTGGATGTAGAAACTGTAGCAGGTACCTTAAATCCTTTTGTAGCTTTTTGTTGATAACTTTCTAATGCAATTTTTCTAAATCAAGTAACCCTCCTGGTGGTTTGTATTACTTTTCATCATCCACAGTTTTGTTGACTCTTCCAGAAATGTCTATGTTGACACTGTTGGAAGAAATATTCTGGGCTGAGGTGGTATTCAGCAGGTTCTGACCAGTTCTGGAAAACCAGTAGCGGAAATTTTGAGTGGTTCGGAGAACCGGGAAATCCCACCTCTGATTGGAGATTTTACAGTAGCCTTCCCCTGCCACGCCCACCAAGCCACACCCACAGAACCGGTAGTAAAAAGAATATTGAATCCCACCACTGCTTCTGGGTTCAGTTCCAAGTGGAGAAAAAGACACTGGAAACATGGAGGCTGCTTGGAAAGATGGTTTAATGGTGGACAGGACCAGGGGTGGGATACGACAGGGTTAACTACCAGTTCGGGATTTACGAGCTTCCCTGCAGGCTGCGAACCGCACGCCTGTAAATCGTCATCAGCGGCTGCCTGCAGAGACACAGCCTTTGAAACAGCCCTCTTTTCCTGCTTTTCTAACTGCAGCTGTGCCTCGTTCGGCAGCTGAAGTTGAAAAATCAGGAAATAAAGATCAGGTAAGGGCCCAGGTGAGCGGTTGGGCAAAAACATCAGCAGACATAGGACCGGTTCTATGTCTGCTGCTCTTCAGAGCTACCGGTTCTACAGAGGTGGGCAGAACAGGTAGAAACCCACCCCTGGACAGGACCACATGGCTTAGAGCTCCAAAGTGAAAAGGATAATCACATGCTTCAAGATGTTGGGTGAAGGAAAAAAAGAAGCAAGATGCTGAGAATGCAATTGTTTTATACCCTCTGTTGGGCCCCACCTTAGTGTTTCTTGTTCCTCTGCAAGAAATGTATCCCATTGGCTGTCAGACTCCCAGGGGCAGGGGTCTTAGCTAACTTTGTAGGCTTTGTCTGGACCACATGGCTTCACCTGAGTGTTGGCTGATACAATCTTCCCAAGCCAGGTGGTGAGATGGGCAGAGGCCTTTGTTATGTAGAATATCCTGGCCCAGGCCTTGATGGCCTGCCCATTAACAAAGGTGGGGGTGAGCTTCTGAGATGAGTTTCTGCTTCTGAGTTTCTACTTCTCTTTTTAGGGGAAATATTCTGCTTTTTAAATATTTCCTAGGATATTTCATTTTTCTAGGAGAGGGGTGGGTTGCTAACTTCCTACAATAGGAAATCATTTATCTATATATTTATTACATTTATATTTGGCTGTGTGTAGTATTTTATTTATGCTTTTATCCTTGTACAGTTTTTATTTGTGATTGTGAACTGTCCAGAGTTACCCTAAGATAGGCAGCCTATACATTTTATAAATTTTGTAAGTAAATAAATATTGGAAAATATCGGTGGAAGCCAGGATAGTGGCTTTAAACCACTAGTGGCTCAAACCTGGCACCTTTAAGACTTGCAGACTTCAACTCCCAGAATTCCTGAGCTAACATGACTGGAGGAGGAATTCTGGGAGTTGAAGTCCATAAGTCTTCAAGCTGTCAAATTTGAAGACCCTGCTTTAAACTAATGAAAATGTAATGATTATTTTAAGGATTTTGCAACTTCTAACGATTTGGTCTTCCAGGCTCACAACAGTAGTCATATTCTGAACTTAAGCATGTTTTACAGCTCAATATGCTATTAGAAAAAAGTTGTCATAGTATGTTGGAATGTCCTCTGGGGGTAAGGAGAGGAGACGCTACCTGGTCCTAGGGAATGATCAGAGAAGAGACAGCACAGCCTGCAGCTGCATAATGGGCAGAGAAAGAGACACGGAAAGGAAGCTCCTTATCTTCTCGGGCTCCAAAAGAGACATTGGACATTTGTCCTACAGTTAATCCTCAACTTACGAACACAATTGAGCCCAACATTTATGCCGCTAAGTGAAAAATTTGTGAAGTGAATTTTGTCCCATTTTACGACCTTTCTTGCCCCGTTTGTGAAGTGAATTGCAGCAATTGCTCAATTGGTAACACAGTCGTTAAGTGAATCTGACTTCCCCATTGCCTTTGCTCGCCAGGTTGAAAAAGGCAACCCATGTGGGATATTGCAACTGTCATAAATATGAACCAGTTGCCAAGCATCGGAATTTTGATCAAGTGACTATGGGGATGGTCAGTGGTGATATTCTACCGGTTCGGCCCAGTTCTGCCAAGCCGGTAGCGGCGATGAGCAGCAGAGACCGAACCAGTTCTCTCCACTGCTCTGCCCAGGCTCCCATACTCACCTTTATCTTCTGCGTTTGAAGCGCAGCTGCTTTGTGCGGCACAGAAGAGCGCTGCGTGGCAGCTGCTGAAACGGCCGGGAGAGCGCAGGCTTGCAGGAGGTGAGTTGGAAGGCTTCTGTGCCTGCGCAAAATGCATGTTTGGCGCACGGACTCACGCAAAGTGTGTGCACGCACACAAAGCATGCCCACCAAGCCACGCCCACCGAACCGGTGATAAAAGTTTTTGAATCCCACCACTGATGTAAGTATGAAAAACAGTCATAAGTCCCTTTTTTCAGCGTTGTTGTAACTTCAAACGATCAATAAACAAACAGCTATAAGCCAAGGACTTGTATATAGACTTGCAAATTTCTGTTAGTATAGTGTAGCCTTACAATAAAATAAATAAAATAGAATTAGCTGATCCAGCCAGGTTTCCTGTCTATTCTACCTTGCAAAAAGAAAAATTAGATGGGTGCAACTAGAGATGTTGAGCAACATGGCTAGGTTAAGTCATTCCTTGGAACTAGGCCTGGCAATAGCCAATAAAATTGTTGAATGGCTTGAGTTTAACCCCCAGTTTAAAGAGCAGACAAGCTTGTGTTGTTGTTTGTTTAGTTCCCAGGAAAGGGTGACCAGTTTACACAAACACAGCTCTAATTTCTTTGTTGGAAAACACACAGGGGAGGCAAAAGAGATAAATAATACAACATCCCTGGAAGTCTGCTTCCCTGCTTTCGAACATATTGTCCCTTAGCCTTGTTTACAGGAGTCCCACCAGGGAGACAACTGCACATCCCTCCTTCCATGTGACAGTGTGTCAGTCTCTCGGAAACACGACCCTCTTCTCAAATTACTCTGCCAGCCAAACACATGTGACTCTCAGATAAATTATAAATAGATAGGAGGCAAGCAAACGACAGAAAACCCAGTGACTTAGTTTGAAAGTCAACCCAGCAAGGCTCAGTTCTAAAACTTGAGCTTGTCTCTCCGAAGAGAACCCTAAGCTGAGCAATTCCAGAATCGAAGGATATAAGTGCTGAACTGGACAATGGATTATCAGTCGAGCATCTTCCAGGACAATAATCCTATGGAGAATCTGGAAAAACAGCTGATCTGCCCTATTTGCCTAGAGATGTTCTCCAAGCCGGTGGTGATCCTACCTTGCCAGCATAACCTCTGTAGGAAATGTGCTAATGACGTTTTTCAGGTCAGTATGCCTCCATTCAGCCAATTTTGTGCATGTTTACTCAGTAGCTATACAGGAAGACTTTGAGATTCAGTTGACTATCTGTGGAACAGAACAGAATAGAATTCATACAATGAATCTTGCAATTGAAATACAAATATAACAAGTAGACTATGTGCTTGCTTAGCTCTCAGTCATCTAGGGCAGGAGTCTCCAACCTTGGCAACTTTAAGACTTGTGGACTTCAACTTCCAGAGTTCCTCAGCCAGCTTTGCTGGGTTAGGGTTAGGGTTGAAGTCCATAAGTCTTAACGTTGCCAAGGTTGGAGAACCCTGATCTAGGGCAGCTTCAAGGTTAGAAAAATTCTCCCTATTTAGGAATCTTTTGTTTTAAATTGGACATGGACCAGATTTTAAAATAGAGAATCCAAGGAAATGCATTTCAGTCATCTGAGAAAAGATAAAATGGCAGACAGTGAATGTGTAACAATCTCTGCTACGTTTGAAAGATTCATTAGCCATTGCTGTGCAACTATTAAGAAGAAAATAGCAAGGATATAAATATAGCGAACTTGCATTTGTGGTCATGTTAAATGCAATGACATTGTCCTAGCTGTGAAATATTTTCTCACTGGTGCTTTTTTAAAGCTCTGGAGCCTTAGAGACTGCATGCATTATCCACTAAAATTCAGTTCTATCTCCACTTTCAAGTCTTGAAGACCATCTTGGAATCATTCCTCAGATAATGTTCACATCTTCAAAAGGCTTTGGCTAAGTAGTAGCTGATAAGAGCTCAGCTCTGGCCCTCTGGGGGCCTGTTCTACTTCTGACATTGGCTTCCTGATTTGTTGATTGTTATTGTCAGAGCTCCAAGGCAACACAAAATGGAAGGGCAAGAGGCTGAGGAGAATCTGAATATGGTTTCCCAAAGATCTCATTGGCTTGAAGGCAAAGAGGGAGAGGAGAGAGATAACCGCCTGGTGAAACAATGGGTTGTTTTTAAGTGTTCTCTCATCCTGGAGATTCTCAGATGTGTTGGTACGGTCAACAGGAGCTGCATTCGCAACACATCTGTAGGGCACTTGACTGCAGAAAGTGCCTTTATTATTGCCTTCTCACTCAATGACTTCTTACATATTTATCATTTGCATTTTATATTAAAAAGGGTGTATCAAGACATGGGATAAATGCATGTTTATTTTTAAAAAAAAATGTGGAATGAATATCTTTAAGAGGAAGAATTATTTTTTATTTAATGATTCTTCTTCTTGTGCCATATCTGTTATTGGATATTGGCAATCATGTCGACAATCCCAATGATGGTTTACTTACTGAATACATTTTTGCCAGTATTCACAAGTTAAGGGCCTCCAGGTGTGTTGCTACTTCAATCCCAGGATCTTAAATCATCATGAAGCGTGCTGATTGGAAATTCTTGGAAACAATTTCCCATTACATTTAAGGAGGCTTATGCTGGTGCCAATGAGGTTGATTCATAACATGGGTTCAAAGGAATCTGATAACTACCAATCTCAACGTAAAAATGGACCAGGTCATATAATTCCGTCTTTGAGTGTCAAGTTTGGTCTAGTAGTTAAGGTACCAGATTAGAGACTAGGTGTCAGTGAGTTCTAGTTCCTCCTTAGGCATGAAAGCCAGCTGGGTCACCTTGGGCCAGTCACTCTCTCTCAACCTATGTTGTAAGGCTCAGATGACAAGCGTGTTGATCAATTCCTGACACAGCCAATGGATCTGTTTGACCCTTGGTTGATCTGAAAAAACTCTGATATACATCAGTTTTAGAAACTGATACAATATTTCTCTGTATTATAATTATATTCTCAAAACCACGAGCAAACCCTTGACAATACCAATGTGAATTCTACGTTCAATTGCATTCAATAACAAGCAATCCCTTGCTACAGAAGGTTGCATAGCATTACTGAATCTGCATAAGATTAGGTGGACAATGGACCCAGGTGAAACATCTTCTTTCAGCCAGTTGATTTCCACTGGTTCCAATGTCCTGTCCCTCCAATTATTTCTTCATATAACATAAAAAACCCATTGCCATAGAACATAGTAAAAGCATCTAGGGGAAAATGGATTGATCCTATAATTAGTATATCCAGGTCTAGGACTATGAGTTCTGCAACGAGGAAGGATATATTCTAGAGCCTAGACAGTCATACATCCCTTCATCTATTTTATTTTCCATTTTTCTGGATTAATATCCTGTTTCCCAATAAACCAGTCAATATCCCATGCTCACCAAGCATGCCTACTAAACATTGTTTTGCGATAGATCCTCTTCAAAATATAGTAGGTTTTTTCATATTTTCTTTTACAAGAATTTCCTAGTACACGAATTTTGGCTAGCTTCAAGAAAGGGTTGGACCAGTTGATGAAAATCATGGAGCTCAGCAGTTATTAGTCTTCCTGTGGTAGAAGTGAGACTGCTTCTGAAGGCCATCAACTGGGAGACTTCGTTGTGCAGTTGGTTGGGTTGTCCTCGGAGAACTGACTGCTGGACTAAATGGGCCATTGCTTATGTTCTTATGAACAGTTTGCCTTATTTTGGCAATTCATATTATTCTTCATGTAATCCATAAAGACAATGGACACGATTCTTCCATGTCTAACATCTAATTAAAGTTCTAGGAAAGATGTACAAGAAAATCAATAATTCAGGATAACCACATTTTCTTGGGTGATTTCATGAGCATTCATTGATGACCTTGAGTCCTCCAAGAACTGAGGTGGACCAGCAAACCTTATTCTTATGTTTTAGTTAAAGAAATAAGGAATAAAGTCTATCTAGCTACAAACACTAATAAGTTTTTTTGAATACTTATTTAGTTATGCATTTTTTAAAAATTCAGGTGCATAATATTTCACATAAAAATTGGTGCAAAAAGTAATGAAACCAGATTAGATTAAATAATTTAGCAAATTGAAATTGAATTATCCTGGCCAATGTCCAGCTCTGAGAAATAGTATCACTGCAATTTGTGCCCAAAATAGATTCCAGTTGAAGCAGTTACCTCATTAGTTGGCAGTGGCACTGTGTTCCAGTGACACTGTCTGTTTTATGAACAAAGCATGATGGGAGATGATTCTTTTTATCAAAAGGAATATTTTTAAAGGGGAGAGGAGGAAGGGAAGAAATCAGATTATTTTGAATTTTTGAAGCTTTTCACACCTGGCTCCATCCTGATGTGCTGAGTTTGAAATGAATAGGATTGATAGGAGCTGAAGTACTTTCTGGACGGTGCAAGATTTGGGGGGAAAATGTGTAGCTTGTTTAATTTGGGGGAAATCCCTGACGTCTGGATTAACATGGTTGATGGCATTTCTAGGCTGCAAATCCATACTGGCAAACAAGCCGAGGAACCACCATATCAGGAGGACGGTTCCGTTGTCCCTCTTGCCGACATGAAGTCATCCTGGACCGCCACGGAGTCTATGGTCTCCAGAGGAATTTGCTAGTAGAGAATATCATTGATATCTATAAACAGGAATATTCAAGGTTGGTATGAATTCCACTTTGTTACAGCTTGGAAAAGGAATTATCCCTTAAAAGCCATCATGTCTTAGTATCTTCCAATAATGTCTTAACAATCATTTCCAGAGAGAGAGCATCAACAGGAGTAGAGGTCTCCAAACTTGGCAACTTTAAGACTTTGAAGTCTACAAGTCTTAAAGTTGCCAAGTTTGGGGGGCCCCGAACTAGAGAAAGGTGGATGAATGACAAAGCACCATCAAGTTATTGTGACTTTTTACCAACCACGTATATTCTTCAGTTTTATATAGTGGTCCTTGATTTACAATCATTCAACAGCACTGGAAAAAAAAATGACTTACACACTAATGACTGGCACAGAGTCCCCACAATCATGTGATCAAAATTCAGGTGTTTGGTAAGTGGCTTAGATTTAGGATGGTTGCAGCATCCTCAGGTCATGTGCTCGCCATTTGCAATCTTCCCAACTGGTTTCTGACAAGCAAAATCAAGAGAAAGGGGGAAACTGGATTCACTTAATGACCATGTGATTCACTTAACAATTGCAATGGTTTACTTAGCAACCAGGGCAAAAATAGCAATAGCCTTTAAACTTATATACTGCTTCACAGTGCTTTACAGCCCTCTCTAAGTAATTTACAGAGTCAGCCTATTGCCCCCAACAATTTGGGTCCTCATTTTACCGACTTCAGAAGGATGGAAGGCTGAGTCAACCTTGAGCCTGGTGAGATATGAACTGCCAAATTGTAGGCAGCTGGCTGCAGAAGTAGCTTGCACTACTGCACTCTAACCACTGCGCCAGAGAGGCTCCAAATGTTGTAAAATTGGGTTTGACTCTCTTAAACAATAGCAATTCTGGTCCCAATTGTGGTCATAAGTCAAGAACTACCTGTAATTGAGTCCATCCACCTTGAATGGGAGAAGGAGTGGCAGAATCTGAGGGTGGGATGAAAAGAAGGATCTGCCTAGAATCCTTATGTAGTCACAAGCAAAATAAGTCCAACCCTCCTTGAATGCCCGTGACCCTTATCTAACTGTAAGCAGATGCTGTTGAGAAGATTCTTATGCATAGAATATATAGCAATCAATTAGTTTAATTGAACCTTCACCTGTGGACTTGGACTTTCACAACTGACATCTTGCTGGTGGTAGTCCTCTTTCATTCTTTCTTGCATCAAGACAAGTTCCTTGTGTGTCCAATCACACTTGGCCAATAAAGAATTCTTTCTTTCTTTCTTTCTTTCTTTCTTTCTTTCTTTCTTTCTTTC